CATCTCCGCCAGTATCTGTGCACCTATGGACTCCGCTGGAAGGGATTTTTGTGCCAATAATAGAGGATGGAAGCAGCAGGTACTAGAGGAGGACAACAGTAGCTAAATCTACCAACCCATACGGATATGCCAATACAACCAGAGGTCCATTCTAGGATTCACTTGTTTTAGCCCTCTCTTTGATCTCCCTTCCTAACCGCAAATCTCTTACCGCCCCCGTTCCTTCATTTGCGAAAGTCCGTTTACCAATCCACAAATATAGGAGCTTGTCGTCCTATTATCAATATCTTGCCTGACCACAGCCATGAGAGGCATTCGGTCCTGTGGTATCCCAGGTCATGCTTTGAACCTTTTCCCTCACATACCTCCAAAACCTCAACGCTCTGCGGACATTTCAGAAGCTGGCGCACTGGGAATCTTGCCAAAACGCTCAGCGAAAGATGCTCTTGCAACATAATGCAATTGACAGCGCTAAAAAAACTCAGAACCAAAACTTTTCGAACGGTCACTTCCACCGTGATCCTTTCGCCCCTAGACCTGCCCACCCTACTGGCCTATCCAAAAAGAAAAATTGATACAAATATCCTATAGACTATTCATTGCCACTAATCCACTCATGTTCCAAGGCTGCAGCTGCCGACATCCGGCGTTCGGCGTCCGCAACCAACACTTTTTTAATGAAGTCACTCGCCCGTTCCGACATGTGCGGTGCCGGGAAAATCCTGAGGGGGGCATCACCCTTACAAAAATAAAGGAAAAGAAACTGATCGATTTCTCCAATATGAGACTGCGCTTGATTGTTCGCACCTGGGCAGGATGTGATGGGTTCATGAAATGTTGTGTTCTCTTGAAACGGGTGTCTTGAGGTGAGCAACTCGTAAACAATGACACCGAGGGCCCACATATCGACAGCGAGAGTATAGGTAGTAGACCTTTTGGCGCCGTGTTGAACTTTGAGGCCCTGCAGCTCAGGAGCCATATATCTCTGGGTTCCAGACCGAGTACGGAGCTCGCTTCTCGCTGTATCTTTGGATATCCCGAAATCCGCGAGTTTTAAGTGAAGGGGATTAATACCGGCGACGAGGACGTTCTGCATGGATGACATGATTAGCGTCGTAATGGGAGATGGGGGAGCACTACCGGTGGTTTCAGATCACGGTGGCAAATCTTCATATCATGCAGTACATGCAGCCCCTCGAGGATCTGTCTGGTGATTGTCTTCGCTTCTTTTTGGGCCAGTTCACGGTGGTTCTTGACATAGACTGAGAGGTCTCCATGTGGGATATACTCCATTACGATGTATATGGATTCGTCATCCTCGTACCAGCCAAAGAAATCGACGAATAAATTGGAATGCTGTTCCTGTTAGCTTCTTGGATTTAAGTAAAAGACTTGGAATCATAAGTATTACACACATCTTTTACGGAAAGTAGCGTGTCTATTTCTCGTGCCGGCTTATATTTTGCATTTATCGAAATGCTCGATATTTCTTTCACCGCTCGAAACTGCGAGGGGTTTGTCTTTGATTCCTGCTTATAGACCTTGCCCTGCCCACCGGCGCCCAGTAACGTCCCTTTATTCCAGGTTTCCGAGACAATCTCCCCATCAACAGTTGTCTCGTGTACGATGTCGGTCCCGATACGTTTGAACCGCATTTTCAGATCATTGACATGATTTGGCTGGGCGTGACTAGTGGTATGCGGTGAAGCTGTGTGTATTGACGCTTGAAGATATTTATCTCCAACCTCTAGATCAGGCTCGGGAGGGGGGGTGTCTACTTTATTGATCTCTATGACGGGTCCCGCGTGGCTATTACTCGGAGAAGCTTGCTTACTAGCCCTCGGATGATCCAGAGTATCATACTGTATTTTTTCCTGGCCACAATCGGTGGACTCTGAATCGACTGTATTATCGGGCATTTCGTCAAGCCCATAGCGGGGGCGACCCAGTGTAAAGCTCGGAAAGTCCAACTCAGATGGTTTCTCATCCACAGCCTTGCTAGCCCTGCATGGGATTGGAATCGGGGCGCTTGCCGAGATTCCAAGGCCATAGGACGACTCCAACATATCAATTTCAGCGACGGAAAGCATCCATGGGCTTCCTAGGCAAGACGTATACCCCGAAGCTTCAACGAGCGATAGCAACGGTGGCGAGGCGCAAGCGCGTAGGGATGTGATCGTCTTTGGGGTATTTGGCGCCGATATGGTGGCTCTACTGAACTCCATAGCCTAGTATTCCATTCGTTTTAGTACCAGTTAAGTCTCGGGATCTAAGAAAGAACTCACATGAGGCCACGAATTACGCACCATGCTATAGCTGAAGGATCCTGACCGCAGCAGATGCGGTCCTGGTCTCCCCCATACATCCATAGCTCGAGGTTCGTTGTATGAACTGCTATACTGAGCTTTATCTGTCGCCATATTACCTCTGAGTATACTAGGGGACAAGGTCGTGTGTTTATTTTCCCCACACTTCGACGAACACTGCTGTCGCCTAAGATGAGTAATCCGAAGAAATGTATCAAATTCGCGACCTGGACCGTGCACAACTTAGTAAAGGTATTGTATTGCTTTTATGGGAAAGAGCAACAACAAATCCAATCAAGAATTTCCAGAAATTACCACACTAGGCTACTGATAGCTCAAAGAGCCAAGGGATAGCTACCGAATAAGATATCGCCAGGTATTGTGCATGCTGATCCGGTCTGTCCCGCATTTTCACGATCTTGATATGCGGAGCTTTAACTCTCTAACATCAACCAATTAAGTGTGTAGAACGTGGCGGCGTGGCTAAAGCTGTACTCGTATTTTTCTAACGTTTCCGAACTGGACTAGGTCTGCATACCACCAAAATCTAGTTGCCAAGCACGATTTATGCCCATATGCAGACCCAGTCCAGTTCGGAAACGTTAGAAAAATACGAGTAGTTTTCCTGTTTTGCTCCCGCCACGTTCTACTCACTTACCCCTGTAGTTTCTTAACTGTACCCGAATATCACTCCCTCAATTGGACTTCTGCCACAAAGTACCACATGTGTTGAATACAGACAAAGGGATAGTCTTACTCCGAAATCTGAACCACGAACACTTTTGCAGAGTGGCTGTACATAAAAGTATTTTGAGCGCTTATTACTATTTGGGTAGCTAACTACTCCTTCATGCTACTTACTATTTGACTACCATTTGGGTGGCTTTGTTACTACTCGTCTACTAATTGCAATTTGCTACTAATTGGTTGGGAGGGTTAGGGTTGGGCTACTACTTTTTCGTTCGGCAGACATGGGGTGTCACTCGTCCACATATGTATCCATCTTACAAGTAATCATCCCCTCTCCCCCCATCCTTCCATCATCATCAATCCGCGCACCAACCTGTCCCAACTCATCGTGTCCAATCCACCCCATATACCTAATATATTCCGTCCACCTATCCTATCAATCCATTATTACGTATTTTTTTTTTTTGTTCAACTCATTGATTCATTATTACGTATTACTTACTACCCGACCAACAAGTCTATCCATCCGTCAATCCGTCCATCCATCTGCGTCCTATCCCGTACAGAACAGCGAAAGCCCGGCGTCACTAATGGCAGCGGGAAGAGTTCAACCAATATCGGGATGTGTGTACTGCTGCGGTCGGGAGGAGCGGCGTCAGTAAAGCATTTATTTAACCCCGATACTCTTCAACTTCAAGCCTCAGCCTGCAATGAAAGCGTCGGTCGGTCCCGCACGACACGCGCATTTTTTTTTCCCACCGCCAAAAAAAACATCCGCCAGTTTTAGAAGCACCACCGACCAGCCCATACCATACAACAAAGCAGCCCTGTTCGCCGTTGTCGGCACATATATAGAGTGGAAAGAAAGAAAAAAAAGAAAGAAAAAAAAAGAAAGAAATTGCTCCAGTAGAGATTTGAACTCCAGATCTTCGCATTACAAGTGCGACGCCTTACCCCTTGGCCACAAGAGCGGTGACAACCTGATCGTCGCGGCGGTTGTAACAAGCAGCACAGCACGCTGCAGAGGCCAGGGGGTTAACCCGAGAACGGAATAGCCGGATACATATGTATATACATATATCTTGAAGCAGAAAAACATCTTGAAAAAAAGACCCTCACACTCCCAGCGTTTTCGAGATTTCGAGATGCCCGCGATGGGGGCAAGATGAATATATGCAGGAGTGGTATAAATAAATAGTAGACGGTGTGCAAGTTTCCTCATCGGAAAGATCCGGTAACCACTCACAGCTTATCACCCGCCCCCGCAATCTAACACTCACAGCTCATCACTCATCATCACCACTAGCATTAATAGACTAAAAAGCCAAAGATGCCATCCAAGCCCCAAACGCTCTGCAAATGCGCCCTCGCCGCCACTGCAACACCCACCTACACCGTGACCTTCTCTCCCGGGTGCGCGCACTGCGCGGCGTGCGTCTGCGTGCCATACACGGCGCCCCCGGATGCCGGCGCCGAGGCCGATCCGTGGCTGGGGTATCATGCGCTGAATTCAAAGTGTAGGTTCTGTTATCCAGTGGATGCGGCGGGGAGGAAGAGGGATCGGGTGAAGAGTTTGTTGGCGAGGTTGGGGATTGGGAGGGGGGGGAACTTGAAGGTAGAGAAGTTTGTTTATGACTTTTGAAAAATGTTTGGTGGCCATGGGGGACGGGGAGGAGGTTGTGAGGTGGAGATCGGGGGGGTGGGGGTGTGTGTGAGAGTAATTTAAGTGTGGGAGAAGATGGTGATTGCTAGAGTCGATTTGCAATGAGCGGAATTAAATTTAATTTAAGTTGAATAGGGTTGAATTAAATTAAATTGAATTGAATTGAATTGGTAGAATCTTAAGTTGAACCCTTGACAAGTACTAATACTTCGTACACTTTCCTGTCTTCATATGCACATACCCAGGGCTTCCGCAGGCCTGCCACAGAGGACAGGTACGAGACCAACATTTTCACTGTGCTTTAATTATCCCAAGAAGCAAGTACAAGTGACTTTTATGCATTCCCTGTGGCGCAATGGTTAGCGCGTTCGACTGTTATCACTCCATTCAATTTCGTCGGTATTACAAACATCGAAGCATTTGAAAGAAGTGCAATCGAGAGGTTGACAGTTCAATCCTGTCTGGGGAAGTTTTTAATCCTTTTTCTTTTTGTGCCCGTAGAGTAGCTACCCACGGAGGGGGCATAATTTGTATTGTGTAGGTTTGAGTACTTGTATACTTGACAATCTTTTTTCTTATTAGGGTGCACGGTAAAGCGAACCTATGCTAGAAATCAAGCATTAAATGGTTCAGCTGATTTTGGTGGGCTCAGTAGTGGGTGGCCGAGTGACTTAATGTGACTAATTACCTGGTAACGACTTTGTTTGATATTTTTTCTTTCTTGTTCAATTCACTAATTGACGGAAACGACAGTTTGCTATAAAGAATTCTTCGTTATTGCGAGCTATCATTTCTTCTCACCAAGACCGCCCTCTCCCTGGGCTTTACTTTAGGGCCGGTATATTGAGTCTAGGGGTGCACTGTACGCCCGTCATAATACACAGAAATAAAATCTTAATCTAGATGTTCTATATATAGCCTGCGTCCAAAAAGACAACGAGATATAAACTTTCTCGCTGTATCATACTCTAATAATCTGGCTAAACGCATACTCAAATATTTTACCCAGACTCGGAGAGAATTTGAAGTATATATACTGCTCCAATTACTCTCCGGCCGCACGCATTAGAATCACTTATATCATCGGCTTATAGAGAGGTAAGATTGAGGTGCGGCGGCGCGGCCGAGAAAATCTAAAAGTGTAAAGGAAGCTTTTTTTTATATTTTTTTTTTTATATCAGTGTTTCATTTATTTCTGGGTACAAGAATATCGCATGGAGCCTAGGCTATGGCGTGAGCCTAGGCTATGGCGTGAGCCTAGGCTATGGCGTGAGCCTAGGCTATGGCGTGAAGTGTAAAGGAAGCTATCGTCGTGGAAGCTATATGTACTCTGGCCCTGGTCCGAATTAGGCTAAACCTCGGATTTCAATTAGGACCAATAAAATCAGCGACCAACCAGCGCCGAGAATCGTATCCTGATGCCGCTTTTACAGGTGGCGTGGCCGAGTGGTCTAAGGCGCTACGTCCAGGACATTCGTGTCAAAACCGTAGTTCGAAAGAGCGCGAGTTCGAATCTCGCCGCCATCATTCAACCAAGTAAGAGTTAACCCTCTTTTATTTTTGTCCCGGGGATGGATGTAGAATCCATTCTGACTATTATATTCACAAGGTATCACTCGAGTGATCTCCTGAGCCTACGAGAACCTAGATTCATATGGGAGTACATGTCCGATTATTTTTTACCTGCTTTTGAGTGTAATTACATGTAGTGGTACTGTCATCCACGCCTAGAGCCACTGGACGATTTGTGTGCGGCTACCCGTGAAGTTAGGTACTGTCCCAGCTTTACACAACTCACCCATACAAAAATTGGGGTCTGGGGAAACAGGATCAAGCTTTTTCGATAACATACAGCATAGAATGCCATGTATTCACACTCAGACCTGAATCAAAACCGTCCTCATCAAGATCCCGAAGATCCGAGTGATATTCCATGAATATGTAACTACACATCAACTCCGATACTTAAGTATTGGCAGAGTTTGGGAATAGGAGAGAAAATTTACAAAGAACAAAAGCAGGCTCCACCATCCTCGTATATTGCGTCTTGGGGGGGGGGGGCTATTCGCTGTAACCTAGACCTCCACATCTCCACAACAAGTATTGCCAGTACTACATCTATATAAGGAGTAGGGCATATTCATAGGGACACCTACTCACAACCTTTTGGCGTTTCCGGGCTGGACTGGGTATGCATACTACCAAAATATGGTTCTCACGCACGATTTACGCCATACGCAGACCCAGTCCAGTCCGGAAACACCAAAAGGTCGCGAGTATATAAGTACTTAGTACATAACGCCTGCTCGGAACTAACCGTTCCATAACCCACGCCAGTCAAATCAACAAGTATTAGCCCATGGCCAAGGCCGCCCAGAACCTCTACGCACATCCACGCCATACCAGCCTACATTCACACACGATAGGATAACTCAGTCTCCGGTATCCGCCTTCCACCCGACGGGCCCAGAGACAACGCTACAGGCTACGGCTCCCCTCCTTCCGAGAGACATAGTCGTAGCCCCCGGCCGGACCTATATTCTGATTCGGACCGCGCTAAGCGCTGGAGCGGCTATCAGACACATTGCCACTAGGGGCTTAGCGACTGCTTTGTTGGTACTGGGACCCCAACTGAGGGGTGGGGATATATGTGGATCAGCCAAGTTGTCACGTAGTTCATGCATGGTGGGTATGATTGTTTGCGGCGAGGTTCACGGGGTATCACTCGTTGGTGTTTGGAACGGGGGACATACAGGTATTGTTTAATTCATTAATTACAACCTTTACCATGCTGATGTTGGGGGTTGAAAGTGGGAAAGAGGGAGGAGCATCAAGATGAGAGGTTCTGTGCACACTGGTATCAAGTATCTTCACTTCGGGGGATGAAATTGATGTGCTCTATTCTATAATGGTTCTTGAAAATATCAGTTTCTGATAAAAAAAGTTCGGGCTGCTCCAGTATTTGTATTCACCATCTATTTATTAAACCTTATTGCGTGCACAGCATCCATATCAAGAACTAAACTACTGACTACATACAAAACTACTCAAGCAAACCAATATACCCTAAACCTAAAACACTCTAAAATACTACAACTAATCACCATGACTAGGCCCCGCTCCCCCACACGATCTGAGATTGAACACATCCTCTACGCAAACGACATTGACTTCGCCAACTTCATCGACTACCACTTCTCCCTCTCTCCGACCCCCGAAGACGAAGACAAAATTAAACCCACACCCCACACTACTGGCAGTGGCACAGCAGGCAATGACAACACCACATTAACCCCAGCACCACCTTCCGATACATCTGACATCTCCACTGATGCATGGGTCGACCGCAGAATTTATATGTACTACCACCCTGTGGGGCAGATCTGGCTGTCGTACCCTCCGGAGGGAGTGACGCGGGTAGAGGATCTATATGCTGTTGAGGAATATGGTAAGGATGGGTTCCGGGGTGCTTCGAAGAACCTTTTTGATAGACTGGTGGACTTGGGGATCCGGACTTTGGTAAGTGTGAAGAGGCGGAGGGTTAAGACAAGGGAAGAAAGTGCGGGGGGGCTGAGGAGGGCCGGGAGAAAGTTGACGAGGGGGGGCTGTGACACCTGATTTTAGCTGCAGGAACCTTTTTTCCTTTCAAGCCAAGAGCCGTTCTATTCTTCCTTCGTCTCCTTCTGTTGATCGATGACGAGGGGAAGAGGATAGGGAGGAAGCGGACAAAAAGGAGGTCAGAGGGTGAAGACGGGAGAACGATGTGAGGTGATGCAAGGTAAGTAGTGGTATGGTTAAATGTGGTGAATGATAGGACCAACCAAGCATCGGGAGAACAAAGTTATAGTTAGTTTAGGTGATATCGTGACGAACCTAGCTAGGAACTTAATAAGAAAACTTAAATCTATGAAAGTTGCAGTCTTTAAACCGTGTACCATGGACATGAAAAGATCCTCCCAACCATGACGCAGGGTACATAAAGCAACACGAACCCGAAGAACTAGAATATTATTCTCAGAGCCCATTATAAGAGCCTGGAGCTTCAAGGCTAAGAAGACTTGTATCGCCTTAAAATTATACATATACATAATTGGGGTGAAATGAAGTATTGTCCCAATTGCCCTGGCGACCATCCAATTACACCAAACTTGAGACTCTATAAAGCCACAACCAATAACTAGAACCAAGTTTGTTAAAGTCATAGTTATTTTATGCTCAAAAGTCATTATATTCTGCTTTAATTGCCATGGTTATACAACTATGGTGGTGGTTGGTACATGATGGGTCTAAGGAAACGGTGATGGTTGCTATCACCTCAAGTACGCATCCCCGGCGGGGACAGATGAAGGCCCCTTAATATCCAGATATGCGTCCCGATTTTGCGTCAGGCAGCCATTGGGGGAAGGTCCTCATTATGAGATTGGTCGATTCTTTTACATTATTCTTTTGAGATTCCTGTGTATGTATATACATTATATGTTCCGGTACGTATAGCGCGAGGTAAAAAGTGAAGATTGGCACCTATTTTACACTAAAAATGCTACTAATTTTCAACGTGGCCCTAGGCCACTAATTATCATGAATAATCCCCGATTGGAGAAGTATATTTCTTGCATGTCAAGAATTACCCTATCAGCTCAAAGTTAATGGGCTGTGTTGATTTTATTGTGTTGAGTTGCCAAAAGCACGCCAAGACCACATATTTGTATTGGATGTAGCCGAATCTCCAAATTGCTACTTTCTTTCACATCTGACTCTACAATACATACAGTCGTGTTAAAAAAAGTCCTGGTAGTCGGCACCACACGAAATATTAAAGTCTCGCCCAGTCAGCAACCATCAAGTGAATTGAATGAAAACAAAATAATCATAGTTTACGGACATCCAGAGTACAAGTATCTTTGCCTACAATATTATTGTTACACCTCTGCCCCGTGACATCGTGATTAGTGAACATTGTCTAAGTTTGGATACTTCCGAGAGAATAGCTACATATGCACTTGCCAGAAAACTCCTGCAACTCAATCAAGGGTATCCAGGGTATATAGTCGACGTAGAAATTCATCCCTCGAAGAAAGCTCTTATCGTTGTTGAGATATTATGGGTAAAGAACTTGGGCCCAAATCACAATGTACAGCTGAAATCTCTCATTGAAGCCACACATTTAATATTAATTGCAAATTCAAAGGACTTCGGAGTATAATAGCTAGTATCCTAAATATTCTCCCCTCTTAGTTTCAGGCCTTTTTTTAGTCATGGTTGTTGAGGGGTGTTGTGATATATCTACTGACAAGACTTGTTTAACACGGCTGTACAACGCCATCCATCTGGAAAAGAACCTCGAGGCTGATCATGATGATATAAGTTACCAGTTAGGTTTCCGAGAGTTATTGTCTCCACAGGCACGCGAAAGGCAATGATCATAACCTACTTAATCTAAAGCGGCCCTTGCCAGCATATATTTAGTCGTGTTCCAACTAACATGTCCAATTGCAACCATGTACTGCGCCTCCCCGGTGTCTTCTTTATCTAGCTGGCCCGACCATAGTGGTAGAAGAATTTGCTGTATGAGGAGATGCAGGATCGATCCTGCGGGATCAGCGGATTGGCCCTGCCACAGTCCTACAATGGCCCAATGTACTGGCAGGTATAAATTCTTATCGTTCCTCCGCGCGCGCCCGTACCTCCTCGAAAAGTGCAAACGTAACCTCACCACCACCACCGACCACCACCCCAAAAATGCCAAATATTGCCCTACTCCTCCCACTCTCACTACTAGTACATATAAACACCGCGCAATCCTTCTCGCTCAGCTATCAGCTGGTGGGCGGAGGAGCCGGCGTCGAGTTCTTTCTCGGCACCCCTACCCAGTCTGTGTACCTCACACCCTCCCTAAACGACGACGAGATCTTCGTTGTCGGCCACGACGCCTGCACCGCGAACTGCACCGCTCAGAACGGCGGCAGATACATGTACAACGACCACGAGATCTTCGACCCCTACACCACAAACTACATCGCTCAGAACGGCGGCAGATACAACGAATACAACACCTCCGGTAGCAGCACATGGCGCCCATCCAGAAACGTAACGATGGGTGATGCTGGCGCCTCCGACTGGTGGAATAGACGCCAGGGGGAATATACGCTAGGATCTGAGCTGGTTTGGCTCCCGGGCATGTCGGGAGGCTCAAGTACAAATTTATCGACGGAGGTCGCGGTGCTCAACAAGCACTCGCTGGATGATGAGTTTCCGTTGCAGAATACACTGGGGCTCGGAAGCAACTCGACGTTTCTAAACAGCCTGGTAAGGAACGGTGTTATTGAGTCGCGATCATTTGGATTACACACGTTGGATATCGACATCGGCGGCTTTGACGAGTCGCTCATTGTAGGGAAACGACACTCGTCGCCCATCCTCCAGGATACGGGCTACCTCGGCGGCCTCCAGGTAACAGTGACAGATATGACAATACATGGGAGGTCCCTTATGAATCGGACAAGTGGGCCTTTTAACGCGACCCTAAG